CTTTTAACACGACCACTTTTTCTAACTCAAATTCAACTCAACCCCACTATCTTCAATATTATCAATCAATCATACTTACAAATCATACCAATTTTAATTTACAATTCATCTGTTCACATAATTTTAACTACCTATCATATCCCATAATCTCTTTCCTATTTTTATAGCAAATCAACTTTAGTTATTTTATTTTAAATATTATTTTAATACAAACTCAAAATCCCACTCAAACCTAACCCAACCAGCCTTTTCAAAACTAACCATGGTTAACCAAAAAATTCAAACAAACCCAAGAAAAATCTTATATCCAAGCCTCCTTTTAAATCTCTACCTGAGTTAAAAGATAATATGCTTTGATATTCCAAAATTGTATGCACCCAATTGAAAAGTTGCATCCACTTAGGTTGTTTATTAGTCTTAAGTCTGAAATTGCTAGTAATCCTTGAGATTTTTTACTGCTACAGTCATTGTTGTGCGACCCAAATCCGAATTCGCCAGCAAATTCCGAAGCTGCTCGTTTGTTCAGTGAAAGCAAACGTGAGTACAACCGCAGAGTGAGGGAAATCGTGGAGCAAAGCTGGACAGCCGACTAAAATTCATAACTTGTGGGGCCAAGTTATTGGCACTTGTATTTCGAGTTGTTATCGAGCTGTTTGTTCATGTGCTGTAATTGCTTTTGTATCATGTAAATTAGAGATTCATGAATTGGATCTTTGGCTTTTGGAATTGTTAAACTAACTTTAGTTGTCATGTTGTTGGGTCTGAAGCATGACTTAATTTGTGGTGTGCTTGGAGAGTTTTTACCTAAAGGTTTGAACCATCAGAATTATATATCAGTGATTGATTTTACTGAATGATCTTAGAGTGGAGAGTATTGGATCATTACCATCTAAAATTCTAAATGCAAAATGCAAAAACAGTTCATTCAAATGATACAGGGTCATTTGATTGAATACCGGTAGTTTTTCAAAGTGGATGAACTTAAGTTGAACTTGATTGTCTATATATATATATATATATATTTATAAACTCACTTTACCAGTACACCAAAAATCAAGCAATTGACAAAGTTAGTTGACATAGTTGAGTGGATAGTTGAGTGAGTGAACATTTTCTATTGGCTATTGATTAGGGGATAGTTGAGTGAGTCAACAGTTATGATTCGGTGGGTTGATTAGATTAGTTGATATGTGTGGCAAATAATTAGCTATTTGATTTTATATGTAAAAAATAATTAAAATTACAATCATATATTCCAAAATTTCTTATATTGAATTTCGAAGTTGACTTTTTTTGGATTTAAAAAGATATTTAATTTCACCCTACAATGCTAGTCACTTAACAAGGCAAAATAAAACCTCCATTTGGATAGGTTAAACCTCTAACTTCACTCTCTCAAATGCTATCGTGCAACATCTGTTAATAGTTATTCAAGATATTGATTGCAACATTTTTCATAAGGGGTGGTGGCGCAGTTGGCTAGCGCGTAGGTCTCATAGCTTAAGAGAAATCCTGAGGTCGAGAGTTCGAGCCTCTCTCACCCCATTTCTTTTTATTTTTTTTGTTCCAACAATACTGGATTGGATCCCGCAAGCTTCTCTTCTCGTCTTCGCTTGATTTTTTTTTACCTGGAAACCCAACTATTTTCTTGTTAATTTTTTCAGTTATTCTCTTTTTTTCCCCTTCTGTTCTTGTGTGTGTTGATGGGTTTTTGTTGAAACGTTTGTTAGGTGCTTTGTTATTGAGCTTAGATCTATTGATGTTTAATGAATTCTGCAGTTAAGCATTGATGATTCGAGTCACTGCTTACCATTTTTAATTGCAAAATTGATTTTTCATCAAGTTCTTGGTCATTTCATGTTAAACTAGTAAAGTGCACGTGCGTTGCACGTGAGAAAAATTGGATTGCTTTGTGTTTTTTTCTTTTGGTTAATGAAGTATTTGTTATTGTTCCGAGTTGTTTAGTGTGAATTTTAAGATATTTAAATAATATATGAAATTATGAATGCATAAATATTCAAAAGACAATGATTTCCAAGTCAAAATAAAAATCAAATAACTTACTATGCAAAAACAAATTGTCTATAAAATAGAGATTTAATTAAATAAGAAACTAATACGAATTGTTGTTGCTTCATTTCTTCTCCTTCTTTATGTTGATTGTTGGAGATGGTTTCCTTCCTTTTGCTTTTGTTCCCTTTTTTGCACATTTCTTCTTTATAGTACTAATTGTCTCATGATCTTCAACTTCAATAACGCAATCATTAGCATCTTCTAATATCTTGTTGATGGATCGCTTCTTTCTGTTGTTGGTCCTTTTTGACGAAATTGCTTCATCCACATGCAGATCAGTAGGGCTGTTTAGAGAAATTGGTTGGGTATCATTCATTTCATCATCATGTGTAGTTTCTGTCCTTGCCATTGCCTCTGCCACCGCATTGAATTCTCCTCTTGAGTTGAATGACTTTTCATCGATTGGAATGAGGAATTGAAATTCAAATGTTGACTGTAAGCTCAAGCCTTTGTAAAATCCAGATAACTCTTCCCCCTAATTAGCATCGAAAAGTAATTGTTTAATAAATATTATAATTGATGATTCATGTGAATTTGAAATTGAGTATATATTTCACCTTCTCAATTGATCTGATGTAATCATTAACAGAACATCCAACGTACACCATTGCGGCTTCCTCAAATAAAGTTATTGTCGCATTGTGTTCATCTCCCACGACGTTTAAGACCAACCTATATCTGCAATGATTGTATATTTTTTTGTAAATCTTTTTGTGTAGTTAAAATATTAGATGCGGTGTTTTTGTTATGCTTAATACCTTGGAGTTGGTTCCACGACTTCGCTATTGCACTTTTTGCATGACATGCTGTCGTTGGTCTTTGTAATTGCACCGGCACAAATTTTACACGATTCATACCACAACGCTGATTTATTCATGACCTTATCCACGTATCCTTTGAAAGAATAGTATTTTTCCTGTGATGAAAAGAAAACTAATGAAAAATATTGCAACCAAAATTGAAAAAGATTATTTTTTGCCGTTTGAAAGTTTTGAGATATTTCTATATGGTACCATTTAGATGCTAATGGAGGAAAGAAATAGAATACATCAATACTTTGCTACATTATGAAGTATGACGGAAGTACAATATTATAGTACCAAGATTAAATTAAACTATCCATAAAAAATTAAATTATTACGTGAATTCAAATAAAATGCACTATGAGGATGGACATTGGCTAAAATGATCTATGACCCAAATTAATTACTTATCATTATAAAAACTATGCATGAAAATTAAATACGATATACGCACACTGTTGATTATTCGCACACATATTTGGTAATGTACGTAAAAGTATAAATATAAGAATTCATAATGCGATCATAAATAATAGTCAGTTATGGAATTATTGAATTTCATCTAAAAATTAATGTAATAATAATCTATAGTTGATCTAAGTTTGAATTTTCCAACATAATTAACAAAAGTTATAACACGAAATATTTGTTAGAATTTTTCTCGTTGCTATTTCACATGCTCTTTTTGTAGTGGTGATTTTCAATGATTATCCAAATAAAACATGTAGTAATACGTAGATTATATATGTATATATTTGTAAATATTTTTTTTTTCTTTTATGCCGCTATCATCATCCTACAGCTAATTTACTACTACAATTATCTTTTATTTGCAACAGCTCATTTACGTTACAAACACTGTAGCAAAGCCTAATCAGCTTAATTCACAAGATATATATACCGAAAGTGATAGTCACGGGTAAATTGGTTGTCATTCTTAGAACAATTGGACTGTGACAGAACATATAGATACGTGATATCAATTATCTTTTTAAAAGATGACTATTATTTGTAAATAAACTTACTTTAACGAATATTAATTATTGTAAATGTATATTATATTCTAACCGACTTCCCAAGTCCGTGAGAATTATATTGATGACATCAAGTAAAAAATGAGATCTTGAATTCAAACCCATTACACAATTTATATAATATGGTACAATCATATTAAGTGTTGAATTTTGATACGGGAATTCTCCACTTAACATCAAGATAATGTTGTCGTTCACACATAGAGATATTTAGCAAGGAAAAATTGACTTTTTATTTTACTTGATTATCTAATTTACCTTATTGAGCTCGTCTCGATTGAACAAAATTTGATGTAAGGTCACAACTTCGACATCCTTCATCTTTTGTCTCATCGACATTTCAAGCAAATTCATACGCTTGTCATGTACTCGCAACCTAATAAATATCACATATAAACAGAAGGTCATATTATTTTGAATTATATTGTACTATATCGCATCTACTTCTCAGAATTTAGAGTTTACCATTGACGAAATTGATTGTTTTCTTCACAAGACGCGTTGATTTCCAGAATTGATGCGTTGTTTGTTTGCAATTGCATTTGACCTTATGATATTAAATTGAATAGTATTAAAATTGAAAGTCTAGTTGTGACATCAATTAAAAACTATAGAATATAAATATCTATTCTCAAAATTAATTATTTTAGTATTTATTAATATAATGTTATGTCTTACCGTTGTATATCTTCGATACCATTAGCTTACTGAAAGTTACGAATGGCCTTTGTGCAACCATATCATATAGAGCAGTTCCTTCATTTTGCGACATATCCTCCCATAAGGAGACTATAATGGTTCGACACCTTGTAAACACAAAGAATGTAATTATTTGTATATTTTGTTGTTGTTATTGTTTTTATTATTATTAGCATTATTAGTATAACAAATATATTTTTAAATGTATTCCATGTTTTTAATTAAATAAGCATTAATATTTGTGTAAGTCAAAATTTCGAATATGTTAAATGAAATACTCACTCCCGGTCCATAAGCGTAATGTCTCTTATGGGTGCCTTTGCACCCGTTTTTTTTGTAACAATCCTGGACTCTTTCACCTTCATCACAATCCCACATATATCTACGAAGAGAATAATAAAATGTACTTGGTGAAGTCATTTATATAATAGTATTAAGAACGAAAATTAGAGTAACTATACATACCAATCATTTCACTTCGATGAAGTTGTATGTCAATATCTCCGAAGTTCATAAAATTATAAGGGATATTGTGTTTTATTTCTTCGGAGGAGGAGTTGACTGTGGTCTTGGTGCTCATCATCAATTGGATTTCCTTCTCTGGATGAACTGCTGTTTTAGCATAGTTGCTGTTGATTTGTTTTACTTCTCCATTCTCAATCGTGAAAGTTCTATTCAACTGGAATTCTTTGGCGAATGCATCGATATCACTGTTAAACATTATTATGCCTATTTGAACCCCCTGCATACAATTATAGTTATGAAGACAATGATTAATAATTGTTTATCATATATAATATTTTTAAACTACAATTGTACAACATATATTTATTTAAAATTAGAAAATCACACTTTCATACCACTGACATATTTTAATTGTTATCTCAATTACTAATTATATACATATAATTGCTTTGGTTATGAACATAAATTGTGGATATAGAATGCTGAGATGCAATTCATCTAACTTTCAACAACTCTCATTATTAAATATGCACATAATGCATTGATACATATAAATATATATTTGCATGTGTCCTTAATCAAGTATAATTACATGAAAACAAATTCGTAAACATGCATGTTCCCAGTGCCTATTTCTGTTTCGCACACAATCAAAACATTTGTGTAGCAAGATATAAAGAGATTATACGTTCTTTTATGCTTCATCTTTAAGATTATTATAAGTCTAAAATAATAGATTATGTGCTTATATTGCATGTTATTTTAATATACAAAAAGTCATACCAGATTATCTCTTGTCGTAATTTAATTATTCTGTCCCAAAATTTCTAATTTTATACATTATACAAACATTGTTTTGTACTGAAATCCCAGAAAATAAAAAATAAATTGTGTAGTCAATA